TTTGATTTCAGGGACGAATCAAATAAACTGCACAGCAGTACATATGTAATAATGTATGTTATTGTATGGTTAATATTACATATTCACTTTATTTCGAATAAAATAATTCACCGATGAGTCACAAGCTTTTAAAATATTTTCTCGACTTTCGTTAGACACCTGACTCCGGGACCTGACTATCTTTTTCAATGATTTAAATGCGCCCATGTTTATATTTGCGTAATAATTACGAATGCAACGCAATATCAAGACGGTAATATTGAAATATTCACAGACCCAATAGCCCAGATTAGTGTCCCAACAATAATAAAAATAACTTAGTAATAACTTGCGTAATTATTATAATAGCAATACATTGCAAAGTTGAAATATTTAGAGCCTGTGCAACACTGAACATATTTGCGTTATTAGAAAAGCAGCACACTAAGTAAACGATGTTGAAATATTCAAAGCCAATACAGAGTTGGATACAAGTTGTGTTATTACAGTACCACAGGATATAATAACAATTTTACGAGAACGACGCGCGGACCAAGAAAGTAAAGGGTTGCTGAGGTAACGCGTCAGTTCAGTGCGTGACTTGGGGTCAAACTTCGGTCAACACACACTTGATGTTAGCATCGCCGCGTAGCAAGTTTCGCAATGTACTTGAAGTTCAATTGTGCCCCAAAATGATGTCCACGATCACTCAATTGTCACAGCGCATGTTGTACCAAGTCCATGTACACCCCGTTTCGACTTTGACTTGCTTTTCCTTCTTAGTGCATGTTCTTGTTCACATAAATGCGACCTTTCACCAATGTATTAAACACTTTTTCTGAGACCATGCATGATATATATTCACAAAACAATGCGATCATATTTTATATTATGTTGATCTCTACGTTTTTCTGGATCGTTTTGTGATTTTATTCCAAGGCTCAGGCAAATAAAATAATGTCAACTATTATAGACTAGATTCCTAGCTTTTGGCTCAGCTAAATTGGTTTAATTTTTCATTAGAACTTTGTGATCCTTTTAATTTCCCAGTTTTTTGTGTTTATTAATGGTCTTGACAATAAGTGTGAATTGCTGTGCGAGCCTACCGCAGACGACCGCGGTCAGCCGGCGTCATGCATAAATCTATGCATAAATTTGAATAAAATGCGGTCGACTGCCGAGCACCCACCACCACCGCAGTAATGACCGCGGTGCACCGCCCGTTTGATTTCCTACTCTCCCCTAATTAAATATAATTAGTTTTCAGCTTTTCCATCAATATCTCAAGTACAAGTAATTTTCGAATTAATTTTTAATGTGTCTCAAATACTCTCAGCACACGAGAGTTCTTTCTAAGCTTTCTTTGATTCAAGACTTGCATGTACAACAGTTACTCTTCAGTGTTCTACCACCCAAAAAAGCTTATAGATAGATTATCAACTAGTTTACATAACACTATAATATGTTTATCACCTTTATTGTACTCATTGTTATGCTAAATTGATTTTGTTATTTATCCAAAATTAAATAGTTGGAAACCCCTACTCTATAATGTCCCTGAACTAGATATAATTTCCTCCTTTTATAATTTTCACAGGAGAGTGATGGTACTCTAGACTGTATTAGTATTGCTATAACATGTGCTTTCAACAAACGAGGTACCTTATTGGCTGTTGGCTGTAATGACGGTAGAATTGTACTCTGGGATTTCCTGACACGAGGGATAGCGAAGATAATAAGTGCACATGTACATCCTGTTTGTTCTTTAAGGTGAGACACAAATTATTTTATTAGTTTTCTTTTGTCATCACAAACCTTTAAAGCTATGTTAAAACATTTTTTCGAAACACTTAACCAGTCACTGGTAGCATAGTGGTTATCTCATCAGACTCATGATCGGTAGACCCAAGTTCAAACCCTACCTTAGGCTGAATATCAAAAGGTTGACCCCTACCCTGGGTGTGTGTGCCACAGACTCAATGGGAAGGCCAATTCCATTCATTCACTAACAAATGCGACTTTGGGGGAACCTTGGTTAAGGTCTGCAGGTGCTTGTGTTCGACCGAGCCTGGTTGACGCCAAGACAGTGCATTAAAATTGCCATTTGATAGAGAGATGGCCATACAGCCCTGTCATATAGTCTCAAAAATGAATATGCCTTCTGTGACAAAATGCACTACCCCGTTATGTGTCAGCACTAGCACTTGCAATTTTGCACTTATTTAAGTCAGGAGAGACAACAGTGACACATAATGGCCAGAACTGTAGCCTGGCACAAAAACATTATTTAAAAAATAAATAATAAAAACACTTACTTAACTTTGAACCAAACACTTAACTGTCATCCTGCTTACCGGTAGTTGAAGTTTCATTTTTGTGGGTGGTTAATGGGAAAATAACTGCAGAGTTTGAATTTAAGTGATCCTTTTAAATTAGCTAGATTTGTAAAGGAGCAATTCTTGAAGGAACATTCAGTATACATGTATTAACTGCTTGACACCAAAACTGGTTGAAAACTCTCAAAAAAGCTGTATTTTGGGCTTGTTGTTGAAACTCTCCTGAACAGTGTACATCC